TTTATCTTTTAGATTTATTTGATTTTTAAAATGGATCGAGAATTCAACTAGAGGTTTTAATATTAAATTATCAGTTTGACATGTCTTACTTTTACTTCGACTATTAGTTCTTATAGGCAACATCAAATTAACCACATTATATGGCTCTTTGATATGATCCGATTCAATTTCAAACCACTTAGTTTGTTTTTTTATGATTTCCAATCACTATTTATATTTTATTACTTTTGTTTTCATTTTTATTTATTTATTATTTTTTTCATTCTTTTTTTATATTTATTCATTTTTAGATCAATTTTTTTAATCATTTTTTGTTTTTGTTTTTCTATACATACTTTTGTATATATTTTTCTTCCCCCTTTTTTTGCTAAGTGTCTGAAGACTCCCCCTCTAGTGTCTGATCTACTATATCTACTATATGTTCTCTTTGTATATCTAGTCAGTTAGACTATACACTTGGTCAGGTGATTGTATTTTTGTTTGTATTTTGATACTTTTTTCATCATGGTAAAGATATACTCTGTGATGTATCCTAATATTGATAATTTTTCTGTCTGGGTCATATTTCTTTCATGCGAATATTTTTAAATATATGGCTGAGGAATCTTTGTGATTATATTACAATATGTGGAGACTGATGGAAGATTTGGAACGCATGTGCGTTCTGGGCGCAACAACGTTATTATTCATGGCAGACTGGCATGTGGAACACATTTTGTGATCCGAGTTTACTACTTGTACTTCATATACGGATTGCGGCCATTGGAGATAATTTGATTATGTGTGAAGAAACTAAGGGATTGGCTAAGAACAAACCAACATCTGAAAGAGGCATTTAAAAATAAATTCCGGTCTCCACATTTTATTTTATGCCATATACAGCTTTTTTTAATACTCCTGACAAAGTCTAAGGTTATTAGACGAAACATATAGAGTGGGTTTTTATTTTAATTTTATTTATATGTTATTGTCATTTGATTGTTTTATATGCTGCTGTTTTTTGTCTTCGGCACCTGTGGAGACTCCTGTCACTTTTATTACTAAGACCAGGACTGGGGACCACGGGATTATTCTGATGGGCTTTTAACCTACTTATACTTTGTATGTGTTACCATGTAAGCAAGCATTTTTACTTTTTATCAGTGTTACACTATGTTTCTTTAAATTTTTTTCACATGAACCTTTGGAACCTGAATACCATTGAATCTGGTGGAACCTACAGACTATTAATGGGCCCGAATTTTCTGTGACTTTGTGAGTGTAACCTTGAATTCATTTTTTTTTGTAAATTACGTTATTATCCTATGAGTTCTTTCTCCATTTTATGTTTTTAGGTATATCTGGTTGTTTGTTATTTGTATTTAAGGATTGAGAGGAATCCTTCTGCTATACCTTGTATCCAAAAGGGCAACTACCTTTTTGTATTGATTGCTCACATACTGCACCTGGGTACTCTATATATATTCTATTGACAATTTTTAATCATCTAACTACAAATTGTTGTACAGAGAGAGGCTTTAAGACATGCAATGCAGGATGTATCCATAGACAGGCGAAAAGCTTTCATAATCACTGTTGTAATTATCACAAAATAACTTAGGTAGACATTTATTTAATTCTAAAATATTTTATCAGAGAAGATAAATTGAGATTCCTCTCATTTTCAATAAATCCTGTAAAATTAATCAAAGGCACGCCTATTTTTTGTAACTTTCATCAGCAACTTCAGAATTTTACATTTTGCTGCAGCCTTACCTAATACTAATTTATTTTAAACTGTTTGACAGATGGGAATGCCAGTTTCATTAAAAAAATATATACTTAAAACAACATTCTGGTGTTAAAAACAACAGTATTTATTTTTAACATTGAACTAAGATTGCTTCTTAGTTTATTTAGATTCATCCCCCATCTTCTCAGAGCTGTTGCTCTACCTGCCACAGATCGCTTAGGAATTGTAGACCTCCATATGCCTCTACTTGTCCACCAACAAACCCACAATATAAGCATCAGTAGTATAACCTGAGAGGGTCCAAACTAAGAACCTTAAACCATACACAGAAACCGCTCTGCAATCCTGTAGCACCCCAGGGGACAGCAACCTTATCCAAGTAGAACAAGCATATCGTGTCATGAGAGTGGTTCTAGCTCCAGTAGATGCTCCATGGGATGTGATTGCCTAGATGACAACTACAGGAGAAAAAGCAGCAATCATACAGTGGATGCACTCTTCACCAGCAGTGCTGTATGACAACCAGTAATTTCTTCTCTTTAGAGGCTTGCCCTACTAAACTCCAAATTGGTGCAGGAAATATTGTGCTGATGGATAGAAGTATCACATGTCACTATGATTCTAGTGGGGGGTAACACAGCTAAATATTCTGGAAAGCAACATTACCTAGCCTATCCGTAGAGCATAGAGGACTTTTCCCATGCCCTCAGCTTTAATGCTCATGATGACACCAGTGAACTACCTGCAAACATAACTCATACTGAGCACTCTGTCTGTAATTTGATTGAGCTACAAAATCTTGTGCTGAAAGATTTACATGCATGTATAGCCCAGCTGACCCACTATTGTCTGGCATATTTCAGGATGCTGTTGGACATTCCCAAAAACTTTTTTGGACTGCTTACTGATTGTTCACTCTTTGTGTTTTTTGTAGCCAGCGAGTTTATTAACTTTTCTCTTCTTCATTTCTTGTTCTGTGCTGATGGATCTTAACTTGCTGCATTTAGTTATTGCTCAGAAATATGACATCATAGAGTCTTATGGCTTCACTTGACATGCAGACATTTTTCTGGCCTACGCGTACTTAATTCACTTTGTTTGCAAAAATTAAAATTCTCAGAATAGTGCTTCTGTCAATTATGCATGAAATGTGAGTTGTGTCACATATGTAGCGATTGGTAGAGGAAAGACAACAAAAGAAATTCTCCGGGCACTCAAGGTGTTCAAGCTTGACAAAGTCCTCTTAGCAGGTTGTAATATTGCTGCTCCCTTTTTTGTTCTATTAAAGCTACATGCGACTTGAACATCTTGAGTACCTGGAGAATTTCTTGTGTTGTCTTATAGTTGTGGGATTGCTGGTCCTGCTCCTGAGCAACGAGTCGCTGCTGAGATTGAGTGCTGCTCCTATTGTAATTTTTGTAACATTGGTAGAAGAAAGGTCCAGGCACTCCAGTAGCTTCAGGCACATTTATTAGAAGAAAACAAACACAGCAACGTTTCGACCCAAAATTGGGTCTTTGTCAAGCCTTTTCTCTACTATTGATATTTACGTTTGGGGAGATTGTGCTGGCTCACGGTCTGGTTTAGCACCTATGTCCAATGTGGATTAAGTGCTATTCCTATTTTTTTATTTTATGATACATATGTGGCCATTGTCTTATGACTCTGTACTGTTGTGAAAATTACCAATAAAAAGTTTTTTTAAAAATGTCAGCAATGAGTGAAGTTGGCAAAGCTTATGCTAAGTGAATGGTTGAGTGTAATTTGAGATTAGCAAACCTTCTAAAAAAATTAGGCCCAATGAAATATAATCTGCAATGAAATCCGGTTGCTAGAAAAAGGCAGGACTTCTTTCTAATCATAAGTCAAACTTTCACTTTAATGTTTACAGTTTTATATCTCAGAAATAAATGGATTATTAAAAAGTCTTATTTAAATTTTATCCATTTAACTTTAAAAGACAAACAAATTTGTTGTATTTTTGATGCGTGTTTAACCCCCAACTTTGTGAATGTGCTATATGATTTTGTACTGTAATCCACACCCAGACCACACACGCTGAGGATCTGGCAGGTTGAGAATTCTTTTGTAATGTGATATTTCTTTATCATTACTTCCTTACACCCAATAAGTATGTTTTCCAATTGAGGTTTAGCCTGGCACCAATATTGTATGAATATGATTGATTTACAGAACACTTAAAGGAACCCTATATTGTCAGAAATACAAACATGTATTACTTTGCTGCATAGGAATTTAGATAGACTGGGGGACTGGGCACTCAATGGTAGATGAAATTTAATGTAGAAAAATGCAAAGTTATGCACTTCGGCATCAGGAATGCACAAGCAACTTATACCGTTAATGGAAGCGAATTAGAGATAACCACACACAAGAAGGACTTGGGGATTGTTAAAGGCAGCAAACTATGCAACAATGTGCAATATCAACCAGCAGTGGCTAAGGCCAGTAAGGTATTGCCAGTAAGGTATTGTAAAGTATGCAACGATTTATTTGCTGCTAAATCTCGCGGCCATTACTCTATCCTAATTCTCCTTTATCTTTCTGCTGCTTTTGACACAGTTGATCATCAACAACTTCTTCTCATTCTCATGAATCTCAGTCTACGAGATACTGCTCTCTCCTGGTGCACCTCCTATCTCTCCCAGCGCTTTTTCAGTGTTTCTTTCTCTGGCTCTGCCTCTTCTCCCCAACCTCTCTCTGTTGGTGTTCCCCAAGGTTCTGTCCTTGGTCCCCTATTGTTCTCAGTCTACACTGCCTCCCTTGGTAAACTCATCAGCTCCTTTAGCTTCCATTATCATTTATATGTAGATGACTAGTGATGTACCGAATGGTTCGCCAGCGAACGGTTCCTGGCGAACATAGCATGTTCGCGTTCGCCACAGCGGGCGAACATATGCGCGGTTCGACCCGCCCCCTATTCGTCATCATTGAGTAAACTTTGAACCTGTACCTCACAGTCAGCAGACACATTCCAGCCAATTAGCAGCACACCCTCCCTAGCAGACCCTCCCACCTCCTGGAAGTCATCCATTTTAGATTCATTCTCATGCTGCATGCTTAGTGAGAGGAGGGAAAGTGTAGCTGCTGTTCATTAGATAGGGAAAAGCATAACTAGGTTAGGGTTACGGTATGCTTTAAAAAAAAAAAAAAAATTCTATGTAATGTAATTGCAGTTAGTTGTCTGCCACTGCTGCCAGCTTCTGTGTCAGGCTCACAGTGGATAATGTGCCCATTTCCCCAGTCAGTGCCACCACTTATATCTGGTGTCACAATAGCTTGGATTTAAAAACAAAAAACTTTTTTCACTGTTATAGATTGAATAGCAGTTAGTTATCTTCAAGCAGGTGTGTTACGCTAACAGTGGATACGGTGACCAGTGCCACCACTTAGATCTGGTGTCACAATAGCTTGGATTTAAAAACAAAAAACTTTTTTCACTGTTATAGATTGAATAGCAGTTAGTTATCTTCAAGCAGGTGTGTTACGCTAACAGTGGATACGGTGACCAGTGCCACCACTTATATCTGGTGTCACAATAGCTTGGATTTAAAAACAAAAAACTTTTTTCACTGTTATAGATTGAATAGCAGTCAGTGTCCCTAAAGCGGGTGTGTTATCTTCAAGCAGGTGTGTTACGCTAACAGTGGATACGGTGACCAGTGCCACCACTTAGATCTGGTAACACAATAGCTTTGATTTAAAAACAAAAAACTTTTTTCACTGTTATAGATTGAATAGCAGTTAGTTATCTTCAAGCAGGTGTGTTACGCTAACAGTGGATACGGTGACCAGTGCCACCACTTAGATCTGGTGTCACAAAGCTTGGATTTAAAAACAAAAAACTTTTTTCACTGTTATAGATTGAATAGCAGTCAGTGTCCTTAAAGCGGGTGTCAGGCCTACAGCCTGTGCTCTGCACAACTGTGCCAGTGCACATTGCCACTCATATCTGGTCTCACAGTAGCTTGCATGCATAGTACCACTAATGCCAACAAAAATGACAGGCAGAGGCAGGCCACCCCGCAGGGGCCATCGTGGTCGTGGTGCTGTGAATCCCTTTGGCCCTAGAATAATGCCCAGTTTTCAGAGGCCACGTACCCTGAACTTGAAAAGTTCTGAGGACATAGTTGACTGGCTAACACAGGACACCCAATCTTCTACAGCCTCCGCTCAGAACCTTGACGCACCATCCTCCTCCAGCTTAGCTTCAGGCACCTCTCAAGATACCACTCACCCGCCTGCCGCCACCACCAAAACTAGCACCACAGCCGCTTCAGTTGGTATGTCAGAGGAGTTATTCACACATCCGTTTGAAGAAATGAGTGATGCGCAACCATTATTGCCAGAGGATGTAGATAACAGGGATATGTCTCAGGCAGGCAGCATTACACACATGGACGTACGGTGTGATGATGATGATGATGTTGTACCCGCTGCTGCTTCCTTTGCTGAGTTGTCAGATACAAGTGAAGCGGTTGATGATGACGATGCGTCCATGGATGTCACGTGGGTGCCCGCTCGTCAAGAAGAAGAACAGGGTGAAAGTTCAGATGGGGAGACAGGGAGGAGGAGGAGACGAGTTGGAAGCAGGGGGAGGTCGTCGCAAGGAGCTAGTGGCACAGTCAGACAGCATGCATCGACACCCGGGGTCAGCCCGACAGCACGCCAATCAACGCATGCTGTGTCCACCACCAGAATGCCGTCATTGCAGAGCTCAGCAGTGTGGAATTTTTTTTGTGTGTCTGCCTCTGACAACAGCGATGCCATTTGCAACCTGTGCCAAAAGAAACTGAGTCGTGGGAAGTCCAACACCCACCTAGGTACAACTGCTTTGCGTAGGCACATGATCTCACATCACAAACGCCTATGGGATCAACACATGAGTACAAGCAGCTCGCCTACTCTAAGCCGCCAGCCTCCTCCTGGTCCAGCATCTTCAGCCACGTCAACCACTGCTGTCCTCCTTGTCCCCTCTCAACCATCCGCCACTCCGCCTCCCGCCTTGAGCAGTTCACGCTCATCTTCCCACAGTCATGTGTCTGTCAAGGACATGTTTGAGCGTAAGAAGACAATGTCAGAAAGTCACCCCCTTGCCCAGCGTCTGACGGCTGGCTTGTCCGAACTATTAGCCCGCCAGCTTTTACCATACAAGCTGGTGGAGTCTGAGGCGTTCAAAAAATTTGTAGCTATTGGGACACCGCAGTGGAAGGTACCGGCCGAAATTACTTTTCGCAAAAGGCAATCCCCAACCTGTACTCAATTGTGCAAAAGGAAGTAATAGCATCTCTGGCACACAGTGTTGGGGCAAGGGTCCATTTGACCACTGATGATACCTGAATGCGCAAAACATGGTCAGGGCGGTATATCACCTACACGCATTAGGTATTAAACCCCACCGCTTTGACTGCTGCAAGCATGGAATGCATGGCTCTGCAGAGGAGTTGGTGACACCGCCACGACTTGCAGGCAGTCCTGCTGCCACCTCCTCTACTCCTCCTACTCCATCCTCTTCCATAACCTCCTCGGCTGAGTCCTCTTCTGCTGCTGCGTCTTGCTCCACATCAACGGCACCCCCCCAGCTCCCAGGTACTATTCCATATCCCGGATACGGCAGTGTCACGCCGTCTTGGGTTTGACTTGCTTGAAAGCAGAGAGTCACACCAGACAAGCACTCCTGTCCGCCCTGAACGCACAGGTGGAAAAGTGGCTGACTCCGCAGCGACTGGATATCGGCAAAGTGGTTTGTGACAACGGAACAAATTTGTTAGCGGCATTGAAGTTGGGCAAGTTGTCACATGTGCCGTGCATGGCACATGTGTGTAATCTGATCGTACAACGCTTTGTGCATAAGTACACAGGCTTACAGGGCGTCCTGAAGCAGGCCAGGAAGGTGCGTGGCCATTTACAAGGCCTACACGGCCATGGCTCACTTGCGATATCCAGCGGCGAAACAACATACCAGTGAAGCGATTTCGCGACAGCCCGACCGCGTTAATTCAACACTCCTAATGTTGACCGCCTGCTTCCAACAAGAAAAAGCTGTTAATGAATATTTGTATGACCGGGGTGCTAGGACAGCCTCTGGGGAGCTGGGAATTTTTTTGCCACGTTACTGGACGCTCATGCGCAATACCTGTAGGCTCATGTGTCCTTTTGAGGAGGTGACAAATTTAGTCAGTCGCACCGAAGGCACCATCAGTGACATCATACTATTTGTTTTCTTCCTGGAGCGTGCCCTGCGAAGAGTGCTGGATCAGGCCGTAGATGAGCGTGAAGAGGAAGAGGAAGAGTTGTGGTCACCATCACCTCCAGAAACAGCCTTATCAGCATCGCTTGCTGGACCTGCGGCAGCGCTGGAAGAGGATTGTGAGGAAGAGGAGTCAGAGGAGGAATGTGGCTTTGAGGAGGAGGAAGAGGAGGAGCAAGACCAACCACAACAGGCATCCCAGGGTGCTCGTTGTCACCTATCTGGTACCTGTGGTGTTGTACGTGGCTGGGGGAAGAAAATACCTTCATTGACATCAGTGAGGAGGAGGAACGGGAAATGAGTAGCTCGGCATCCAACCTTGTGCAAATGGGGTCTTTCATGCTGTAGTGCCTGTTGAGGGACCCTCGTATAAAAAGGCTGAAGGAGAACGACCTGTACTGGGTGTCCACGCTACTAGACCCCCGGTATAAGCAGAAAGTGGCGGAAATGTTACAGTATTACAACAAGTATGAAAGGATGCAGCATTTGCAAAATAAATTGAAAAGTATGCTTTACACAGCGTATAAGGGTGATGTCACAGCACAACAGGAATCTAACAGGGGGAGAGGTGGAAGTCATCCTCCTCCTCCCATGACCACGCCGGCAAGGACAGGATGCTTTAGAGACGTGTTGTTGATGGAGGACATGCGGACCTTTTTAAGTCCTACGCATCGCCACAGCCCTTCAGGATCCACCCTCAGAGAGCGACTCGACCGACAGGTAGCAGACTACCTCGCCTTAACTGCAGATATCGACACTCTGAGGAGCGATGAAACCCTTGACTACTGGGTGTGCAGGCTTGACCTGTGGCCTGAGCTATCCCAATTTGCGATAGAACTTCTGGCCTGCCCCGCTTCAAGTGTCCTGTCAGAAAGGACCTTCAGTGCAGCAGGAGGTATTGTCACTGAGAAGAGAAGTAGCCTAGGTCAAAAAAGTCTAGATTACCTCACCTTTATTAAGATGAATGAGGGATGGATCCCGAAGGGACTGACACTGGGCGATACATTAGATTAAAAAAGGCCTGATGAGATGAGCTGCCTTAGGCTAAAAATGGTCCACACGCTGCTGTATTTTAGCTCTGAATGCCTGTTGACTTGCGTGACTGATCCGCCACCAACTAGGTTTCAAGCCGCCATCTTTTAGGGCACTTTCTGCCTGTAAAACAAACATCAGTTATAGATTGAATAGCAGTTAGTTGTCTCAAAGCGGGTGTGTCAGGCTCACAGTGGATACTGTGCCCAGTGCCACCACTCACTTACTGGTGTCACAATAGCTTGGATTTAAAAACAAAATACTTTTTTCACTGTTATAGATTGAATAGCAGTTAGTTATCTTCAAGCAGGTGTGTCAGCCCTACAGCGTGTACTCTGCCAGTACGCTGCCACCTCCTCTACTCCTCCTACTCCATCCTCTTCCATAACCTCCTCGGCTTAGTCCTCTTCTGCTGCTGCTGCGTCTTGCTCCACATCAACGGATAGGGGGCGTAACAGTGATTAAACTGATAACAATAGTACTAAACACACCACTCACTCCCTGGTGTCACAATAGCTTGACCACGCAGTGCCCCAAATTTGCAGTAAGAGGACCGACCAAGCCTCTTCTTCCATCTCCCTGTTACAAAAATCAATGCCGTGTACACGTCCACTGATAGGAGACGCGGAAGGTATTAAACTGATAAAAATAGTACCAAACACACCACTCCTATCTGGTGTCACATTAGCTTGACCGCGCAGTGCCCCAAATTTGCAGTAAGAAGACCGACCAAGCCTCTTCTTCCATCTCCCTGTTACAAAAATCAATGCCGTGTACACGACCACTGATAGGAGACGCGGAAGGTATTAAACTGAACAGTCTCTATTATTCTGCTCTTGCATTCCTATTTCTTCATAGAAAGCGAAAAATTCACGAGAAGAGCGTTAGCGGGAGCTATTCACTTGTGGTGTCCATCATGAATTGTCATTTGAATGTTATTTTTGAACTGTGGGGCACAAGAACTTGAATCGACAAAATAGCGCACCATATACCGTCCACTGATAGGAGACGCGGAAGGTATTAAACTGATCAGAACAATACTAAACACACCACTCCTTTTTTTTGGTGGGGCTTTACAGGACAGAGTGCTTCTCCACGGGACATGTTAACTCACGGGCAGCTGGCTCATCAAGGAACCACAGCAGCTTTCCATGTACAGGTAAGACACGTGCAGCGGTAAGGGTTCAGGCTCTTCTTCCTGGAGGATATGCTGCAAGCCTGTTGAACGAGGTGACCTTGCTCGGGTCCCAGGTGTACGGTTCCTAAAATGGC